CCAAGTAAATAAATAGTGTGTGACGTTTCGGTAACAGCGTTGTTACTGAAACGTCACACGCTATATATTTATTTGGATTTGGTTTTATTACCTTGTGTTTGTAACTATAATCCAAATTGTGCTTTATCATGACATCTACTAAATAGCACCATTAAATGCGAATTATTTCTCATGCCAAATAAACATAACTTCCTACTGTACTTACTACTATACGAAAATATTCAAAGGGCTCGGCTCATCAATGGTGAACCCTTCAGGGACCTGAGGACTGTAGGTCAATCCACGCCGAGAATAATACGTCCCCGAGGTCACTAGGTCAGTTCACGTCAAGGATGCCAAGGATCAACAGAGCTGTGGCTGAATAATGGAACAGTTGCCGCGAGGGTAAACAGACGTGAATTGATTTGCATAAGGCGATCTGTTAGCACCAAGTTACATATTGGTTGAAATTATTCATCCCTAATTCACACTAATAGTTGTTTATGAAATATTGTTTGGTTTGTGTGCTAATATATTTTTTAAATACAAAATACAAACCTTATGATTACACGGTAAACATCATCATTGAAGAAAAGAAAACCTTATTGCTATCATAATTTTAATGTAATAGTTCTTCAAATTAAATATACTTCGGCCAGTAAATATTTTTTATTTTTGACAATTAGAACACTTTTATTGATTTTTAGTCAATATTTACATGAAAAAGATCAAGAGAACTATATACAATCATCCAGGTCCCCCCCGTGTCCTCCTCCAGGCGATGCCCTCGATGGTCTGGCCCAGTCCGACCTGGTTAAAGTATCTGTTGATTATTGATTTCGCCGATGCGAGGATGGCCAGGTCGTCTTCTATCAGGCCTGTCCCGAAGATCCATATTACTATATATTATCACCAACCTCACGTTTTATACAAAGGTGATAAACCAGATCTTATTTATTACCTCGACGTTTCCACAAAAATATTTTGTTCTCGTCAGGAGCGAACAAAAAATTAAAACATATAGAAAAGCGTTAGAAATTATTCTAAGACTGCAAGGGCGTTCTCAAACGGTATTTCAATAAAGATTTACTGGTCAAATTATCCTTGATTTGAAGAACTATGAATACCAGCCAGGCAACCTCTATCTTTACGTTAAATATAATAGTAATGGTTATTATATAGCTACTAGATAAACTGCAGTAATGGCTTACAACTGATGGCCCACACCATTCTAAATATTTATGCTCATGGACAAACTTAAGGAAGTTGTATTTTTCAGCATAGATAAACTCATGAAACTCGTTGCCGTTAGTTTTTTTTTTTATCTCTTCTTAGCAAGTATATCCTCCTGTTGTGATTATCGATATTATCCTATGCAAATATGTATTATATTTGCATATCTACCAACATTGTGAATCTTCATCAATATCTACTTTTATCTCAACTCTTTTAAAGTTACCTTTTTACAATATTATACTTTAAATCGAATTTACAAATTATAATCTATTTTTATAAAAAGGACACTCTCTCTCTAAATAAATAGAAAGTTCAATTATATATATCTTAGTAAATTAATCTATTTATGTATGTAAATATATATAGAGGATTTACAACGGGTTACAAGTAAAGAAATTTAAAATTCACTGCCAAAAAAACTATTTTAAATTTCAGGAAAAAGTTTTACTTCACTGGGCGTCTAATTGATAATCAATGGGAAGGAAAGTAAAATTGCCTTAAAAAATAAAACCACTAGAGGAAGGCTTGTTTTTAACATTATACTGCGGTGTTTATATATTTATATATATAAAATGTTATAAATTTATATTCGCATATAATACTTTCTATATTATTACACACAAACATTACTATATTTATTTAAAAAGACATATATTAGATCAAAATATCATTTATTTTACCAATATTTCAGTTGGCTGAACGTCAACCTTTATCAAGGTGTTATAACATATTAATATTAATGTGCACATTGATACATTAAAATATTGATACATTAACACATTAAATATGTTATAATACCTTGATAAAGGTTGGCGTTCAGTCAACTGAAATATTGGTAAAATAAATGATCCAATATATGCCTTTTTAATTAAAAATGTTTTTATAGATTGCTTTATTTTCAAAACATCACTATATATTATCACCAACCTCACGTTTTGTACAAAGGTGATAAACCAGAATGTGGGCATTGTTTCATTATTTTAATCCATTTTAAAAAGGGGAGAGGTGAGACTTTTGGTATATTATTACTTTATATGTATGGTAGATTAAACTGGCGAAACCCTTGAGAGGGTTCACCAATGATGAGACAGGCCTTCACATTAATTTTTCCATTACAGTAAAGGCAGTAGGTACTGTTTAATTTTTAAAAGAATCATAAGCGTCTATAATAGTTTCGAATTTTGATAACAGATGGCGCGTTAATGCATCATATAATAATATTATCACATGTATTACTTTATTTAAAAATAAGGCTTATTTTGGATTGTAATAAGATTATTTATCAATCCAATATTTCGATGGACCAATCGTCCATCTTTTACGAGGGTTTTTGTTATGAAGCATACAGCAGATCGCGTGTTTCAGGTGAGCCACGGACGTCTTACAAGTTTATTGGGCGATAAACCATCTAATATATACATTTCAAACAAAGTAAATATAATCAAAAGAAAAACTGTGTAATATATATAAATACTTGCAGTGTTTCTTTAATAAGGTATGGGAGGCAAGCTTTCGCGCGGTCGCGCTTCATCAGGCCACTGGCTCCGCAAATGCGTGCAACAGATACAATAGAGATTCAGAGAAATTTATATATGAAAATATATGATCATAAATATATATATATGAATTAAATAGGGCCCCAGGTTTCAGGTTTCACGGAAAGAAACTCACATCTCCAGAAATCTGTTGCATTATTTAATTCATATACAGATTATTCACATCTATTGCATATATTTATACCAATCAAACAAATGCCACAGATCTCTGGTGATGAGTTTCTTTTAGCTTTATTTAACGTAATCTCGTGATTTCAGGTATCTCTGTCCATCTACCGGAGTAGTTTATATGTTTCCATGTACTCTTGTATCGTTCCAATTTTAGTATATGTACCGCCGAACAAGCGTGCACTCTTGTAGAAGGACAGAGATGCCCAAATCTCGAGATCACGTTAAATGAAGATAAAAAACTCATGTCGAGAGATCTGTAGCATTTGTTTGATTGATATCCAGATTAATACATCTATTGCAAATATTTATATTAAATATATTATTAAATCACATCTTCGGTTCCAAAATCACTTTATTAGGTACCGCTCAAAAATAGAAACCTAGTTTATGATAATTGAAACAATGAATAAGATGTGAAGGTTATTCACATATTAAACAAAATGTTAACGCGGGATTCAATCCTGGTTCATGACTGTCGGGAATCGAGGGTGTTACCCACTTGTCCGCCGACTCTTGCGACATCTATGGATAAGATTCGATACTATCTGTGAGCTATAAGAATATGTACTATTTGTGTGCTATTTATTATTGTAGTAAAGCATGAGTCACACACAATGCGATAGGAGAATTTAAAGAACAATTAAACCTAGAATTGGCGTTGAAATAAACTCGTACTCTACTCACGCCGTCAAAATGTATTTTTTACAGATTGAGGAGTTCAAAATGATCTACAAGGATACTACAAACAAATAAACATGAAATTAAAAAATATATATAAATAAAGCTCTGAAATTGATTATGGGTTTATCGAATTACACAGAGAATAAAATGGAGAGAGCGAGCGAAAAAGGGATTTTTAATTCTTCTCAAAAAGAAAAAAAAAAAGCTAAAGAACCTTCGATAATATAATCTACGATCTTATTATATCAAAATATATAACTTTTGTTGTTAGATGCAAGTTCTGAGATAAGGGAAACATTGTGAACTAATTGGCTAATAAACGCAACGCTGATTGGATGATTAAGACCACGGGATAATAAACAGCTAATTAGAAAGCGAATAAATTGAACCAACACTATACGAGTACGTAGGTAGACCAATCAAATACAAGAGTTAGAAATTCATTATGCAAATGTGGTAGGTGTTTTTATATATGCAAATTGATCAATATATTGTTGAAATAGAAGTATTTTATTAATAGAAAGAATATATTCTGTATTTAACAGTATTTCTATCACATGGGACTGTTACAGAATTTCTTTTAAAAATATCAAGTTCTCCAACCTATTCCCAACATCTGGTACAATAAAAAACTTTGAAGAGTTTTTGTCGCGCTTAACTTGAGAAAAATCTGTTTGACTTTTGTGTGCTAACGAACATGAAAAAGTTGCTATAGACTTTTTAATTTATTTTCTTAAACTTCTTTTTGTGTGTGGATGTATCTAGTTTTAAAACTTTAAATTGTGTGGTAACTTTGCTGGAAGGATATTGATTTATTGAGAAAGAAGTCGACTTTCCAGTTAAAACAGACACTAAGGGCCATCTATTGACCGTCTTAGAAAACTCGGATCGATGGCTACACTGAAAGCTTCATTAAATATGTCAGCAGAAGTAGCGTTGTCATCACCGACCCGATTCTGGTAGTTTGCAAAGCCGTTCAATAGATGGCGCTCAGTTTTAGCGCCTGTTTTAACAGGATAGATTACCTTTCTTTAATGTTTTTAATGTTCTCCCCAATATATTCTAAGTTCTCATAAATTTAATTGCCATCTATCAGCTATCGATAAAGGTTGTAAAAATTATTATGTTAGCAATGTATTGCTTTTCATATATATCGTCAAATATTATCTCTACAGACCTTACTGCAATGATAAGATTTTTGAATGAGAAGGGCTTGGCTCATCATTTTAAGTTAATATATATTTCTCTCTCATTTAGACTCTAATATAGACTTTCTATTCAATATTATCTACTTATATAATTGCCTTATTCTGTCTGTGTGAAGTTCACTGTGTGAAGTTCACGGATAGATTTTGGTCAGAATGGATAAAATAAAAAAGTGTCAAGGGATGGGAATCGAACCCACGACCTTCCGCTTACCGGACAGATGCCATGACCACTAGGCCACATGACCACAGTTTATAATTGTAACAAATAGTATTTGAATCAAAACATTCAATCAGGTAAAACACGGGTGTTGCCCGGGTCATTCGGCTAGTATATATATAACGAATGAAGACACTAAGACGCAAGTGTTTATTTTTACAAATAAAGCAAACTTCTACTGTCCTTACTGCGATGAAAAATCTTGAGGGAACTTTGCTTATCTGTGGAGAACCCTCCAAGCGTTTTCGCCAATTTATTCTACCAGACCGCTTCTTTAGAGCTCTAAAACTATATTGTATCATTCTGCTTCTATATGCCACACCAGGCTTGGCCCACGCGCGGCTCGCCGTAAAATATTTTCCGGCTCGGCATTTAACTTTATATTTCTTTTGTAACTTTCATTTCTCGTCTGTATATTCAAAAACAGAAAATATATTGAAATAATTATAATAATTATTCTATTTAAAATATGTGTCCCACAATTTTAAAATACATATTTGATTTCATAAAAAGGAAGAAAAAAGTTAGGAATAATGATAATTAATAGAGAAATATATTTTTATTTTATTTTGTTATTATTATTTTTATTTAAAAAAAAGCAGCCGAAAAATAATAAATAAAAACATTAAGCATCAAGGGAGTATTAAGTATTTTTTAAAATACATTTTAAAGGAAAAATTATGATATAGTTAAAGTTTTTAGACCTTGTTTACAATTCCGTGCGGCCCGTGGCGTCATTTAGGTTGGCCAGGGCTGTGTTACACTGAAGGGTGGAATTTTAGAAATTCAAGAAAACTATGGACATAAGCTTTTATAAAATGTGTATGGCTAGAAATATCATTTTTACTTCAGCACCTACCAAGCCTTCCAGGTTCCTTCTTGAATTTGTTATGCTAGAAGGTGGTTGCCCATTCTCTTGAATAGAAATTTTGTGTATTTTTAAAAATTCCTTCGAAAAGCAAAAATAAAAACGTCAGGTGTAAAATACAGAGAAATATATTTCATAAATATATACACCCATGAACAAAACTTAAGGATGTTCTACCTTTTAGCATATACATATATTGAGATTCAGATAATAACTGTGAACAATATTATTGTTACGATGTACTAGAGCGTCATCTGTTATCAAATTATAAAACTATTTTAATGGCGTAAGATTCTTTTTAAAATAAAACAATTTCTATTGTCCTTACTGCGATGGAAAAATTAAATTATTGTTGTTTTAGTATTTTTATATCTCAGAATTATACTTTTGTAAAGATTTTGTATTTGTGAATATCAAATAATTAAAAATATATTTTAATGTAAAGACTTATGAAAGTTATTGAAAATAAAAATTCATGTAGGTAAAGTGTTTTAGTTTTAAAGCTTAAGAAAATATGGTAACAAATCCACGCGAGCATAGTTTCAAAATTATTTTCCCACTTCTTCGCGGAAAATTCTAGAAATACTTTCATAAAAGAGGTCTATCATAAACATCAAATTATTCCTGCGGAGAAACTCACCAAACTTCACCTTATCTACGACTGTCCGAACTTTACAGAAGTGAGACATCGTTTGTTCCCTGATCTAAATCATTTAACTCTCTTACATCTGCCACTTTGTCTATATAATCTTATGAAAATTGTCGATTAATACAGGTAAATTTGTAAATATTCAATTCTAGGTTCTAATTTGTTTGTTGTTTTGTTTGTTTCCTTTGTAATAAGCGCAAATATTTCAATATCGCGCCTGTGTGTGGTTGATCAATAAATAAATTTAAAATATTAAATATATATGGAAAACAACGTATCGCGCTTTATAAAGGGCTTTGACCAATATAGAGACCGAGGAGAAAAATACCAATCTGATGAGAGAAAGCCCATCTGTATAGCTCATTATTTATATAGAGAACTATTAATTATAATAAATTATTATAAATAGTTCTAAAACAGAAGAAATATTATCTAGATAAATATGCAAATAAAACATTCAAATTAATTTCTAGAAAAGAAAAAATAATACATAAGAATAATAAAACACATTCCTTTTCACATTAGACATTCACATATGTTTAATTATAATTGGAAAATATAATTATATTTGAATCAATATAAATATTCCTAATTAACTATTTTAAATAATGGAATTATTATTTTTGCTTTAAAAATATAGAGAATAAAAATATTATTAAATAGAATATTTTGGAAAGAGAGAACATATATAATAGAAGAAGAGAACGTACATTTTGAAATATATAAGGAAATATTTCAATGGATTCGCTATTAAGGAGATATATGCAAATAGATATTTCTATGCAAATTATCTAGATACCATGAAAAAAACTAATTAGGACTGGGACTTATTAATTTATTGAACAAATTGCAATAAATATAAAATGCATCTCTAGAATTAATGCCTGACTTATTTCAGTATATTAAATATAATTTGAACTTGGACAAACTGAGAATAAAAACATTTTTACATATTAATTTACATATTGTTAAACAAAAATACATATATAAATTACATGAGGACATTTTTAATAACTCGAGATAATTAAATGTATAATTGAAGCGTAAGGACTGTCTTAATTTGAAATGAATTCAAATTGAATTTTAAAATTTACATATATTTCCCATACAAAATAATTTCATTTTCCTGATGAAACTTTTGATGAGGAATATGAAGCTAATTGGATATCTTTTCATTGGTGAATACAATATTATTATTAGTTTATATATATATATATATATATATATTTATTTATATATTAGATATTCATGTACTCTTTTTTTCATATATAACTTGAAAATTTATAATTTTTATTTCCTGTAAAAAAATTACTATTTTTTAGTATTTTATGTTCATACTATCGATCTTGTCCCTACGTTTTTTCTTCATAGCGTCAATTCTGATGTATATATTTTATTCTAAAACGGCATTTGAAAATTATCCCGCATGAGTTTCTTTTCAACGTAAAAATCAAAATTTATTCCAAGGAGAAATAACGATTATTTCTAACCTTAGGGATGAGGTATGAATGGATGAATTATAAAGAGCAATGATAAACAATATTATATTGTTTTATATTTTATTCTTTATCAAATTTTTGTTTCAAACATATATTCTACCTTTTTGTTATATTTATATAGTTTTTAAAATGAAAAAAATGATAGAAAAAAATTCGTGGATGGCTTTTCTTGATTTATCAAAAGATTGGGTTGGCCAAATATTAGGGAACAGGCTAAATTAATGTTTAGTTGATTTCTGTTCCACTAGATGGCGCTCTGCTATCTAAAAAGGACATGTGTTCCTGGTCAGGATATGCCTTTTTTATCTTTTATTTTTGAAATTTTCAAATTAATTGTATTTTAGGAATTTATGATTCTCCTTTGAAATATATTGAGAACCTACAATATGGGACAAAACCTAAAGAAAAAAACAGTCCCATAAACCAATGATGTATTTAACCCCCGACATGTCAGTGACTCTTTGTCCCTGAGGAGAGTGATAGCAGGTCACTAAAACGTCAGGAGTTAAATAAATCATAGGTTGATGGGGCTGTGAAATTTCTGTATCTACTTACAACTAACAAATAATCTTCCAAACTTAAGGAAGTTGTACCTTTCAGCATGTATATCAGGATACAGACAATAACTCTGAAAGATATTACAGTGACCTTTATTGAAGATACACGAGATAACCAAAGTATGAACAAAATTGCCTGTGTCTCTTTCAAATAAGTTTAGAAGACAGGCGATATAGAAGTTTTGTTCATGTGTGTATACATGTGAGGCGTATTTATTTTCCTAATTGTGTATCAATGAGTGTCCGCGTGTCCTGTATGACAATCCTGTGTGACATTCCTGCTGTGACAATCCTGCCGTGACATTCCTGCTGTGACAATCCTGCTGTGACAATCCTGCTGTGTCATTCTTGCTGTGACAATCCTGCTGTAACAATTCCTGCTGTGACAATTCCTGCTGTGACATTCCTGCTGTGACAATCCTGCTGTGACATTCCTGCTGTGACATTCCTGCTGTGCCATTCTTGCTGTGACAATCCTTCTGTAACAATTCCTGCTGTGACATTTCTGCTGTGACATTCTTGCTGTAACAATTCCTGCTGTGACATTCCTGCTGTGACAATCCTGCTGTGACATTCCTGCTGTGACAATTCTGCTGTGACAATCCTGCTGTAACAATTCCTGCTGTGACATTCCTGCTGTGACAATCCTGCCGTGACATGTGTGCAGTGGTGCCAGTCGCAGCAATGGCTCGTCCACTGTGGACGACCTCAACCTGTTGGACCAGCTACTCAGGGACTATGACCGCAGGGCGCTGCCGGACGCCCATCTGGGTGAGTAAATATGCAAATATATTCCACAAACTTCTTATTTTTGATCAAATATATATATTTCTATATATGGTATGGCTGCTACTCGCCAAACCTCTTCGGGGAACAAAATTGTCTTGAGAGATTCACGTATCAAATTACATAGTTATACGAAATATGGAAATATATATATAATACAATATAATGTGGCTATGATTGTAGAACGATGTTTGACAATTTTACCGAAAATGTTTCTTTTAAATGAAAAATCGTAATTTATTTTAAAGAGAAATAACGATTATTTCTATCCTAAGGGATGAAGTATGAAAGGATGGATTGTGAAGAGTAATGATAAAGGGAAAAATAAAAGTGTACAGGGACTATATATATATTATTCAAATTAACACTTTGTTGAATAAATGAAATCTGGATTGCTCAGTCTTTTAAATAAATGAAAATATAAATAGGTAAATTGAAATGATTTACTCCGTCGGATTTCGACAATATCTCCCCAGAAGTAGATTCCTGCATTAATGTGTTCTATGCTTCAATGTCTCCTATTCTTTTGATAGCCTAATCTCATCAGTGATTTCAAGGAACCAAACAGAGCTCTGATACCTTGTAATGGCATAATGTGTATTTATATCGTGTACCTACAGTAAAAGGCAGCCTCACCAACTACCTACCATGATTAACATGGCTTGTATT